TGTATTTTTGGGTTGGGGTGTGTGGATTTTTTTCTTTTTCTTTTTCGGCGGCATGTGCTGTTCAGGGGTTTATGTGAACTCTGGCCAAGTTGCCAGCCTTCTGTTGAATAAATGGCCATCCACCTCTTGACTTTGCCGCACACAATAGTTCCAAAGTCTGCTAATAGTCGGAAATCCCCAATTCAATAGTCGCCGTGCGCCAATTGATGAATTTTTGTGTGCTGTAACCCCTTCGAGCAATGGAGTACTCATCTTGTCATCTTAACCCCCAGGGTATGGTAATTAGGTGCCATCATAGTACCATTTTGCTCTCTCTTTAGGCTTTAGTTCACAGAATGATAGATATATACCGATCCGAGGAGTCACATTTAACATTATGGAAGGGCAAAAAAACATCTTCATTTCGCACCCGAGAACGGAGTCTTCACCTCCTTGTTGACACAGCGTGGCTCGTATAGAAGTAACTCGTGCGCTTGTACATGCCTCGAGACTGACCCTCGAATGATTGTGGTGGAGGGATGAGTCTGCTTTGTGTCACAGGAGATCCTGGCCTTAAAACTTGAAGTATTACATGTATCTGCCGGGCGAGTGTGGATGGATACAGTTCCAGTGGGCTTCGAGAAGCCCTGAAAAGTGGGCATGGGAACGGGATCGATGGGGCAGAAGGGTTTTGGTGCATGGTGGCGAGGAGCGAGGGCCACCAGTGGAGCATGGAAATACCCATGTACGGTGCAGTGCATTCTCGGGAAAAGGGAGGGGAGGGGGCCGGAGTCGCTGGCTTCGGCCGGTGGGTTTGGAACATTGAAGTGTTGGAGTGTGCCCGTCCTCCCGCCAAAGGTGGGGGTCCAGTGGTGGGAGATTCGGAAAAACACAAATAACGGCCCCCCTGCTACCACCCCAATGTCCGTTCGTTTCACCTCTCCATACTCAAAGAAATTGGCGAGCATGACCATCAGTTCTCGCCCGGGAGTACTCTTGATCGATGCGCGGATTGTCTCTCGATTTGCTTTGAACGGCGATGCAATTGAAACCCTCCCTCTTCGCCATTCGCACGTCCAACCCCCTGATAGGCCCGGACTCTCGGGGTCTTATTTAGCGTGAACCTATCGGAAAAGTCCTTCTAATCCTAACGTCATCCAAACCTCCTCCAACAACAAATTTTGAACTTCTCAAAATGGAAAGAGCAGCAGGGTTGTATGGTACTTCGCGAGGTCCTGGAATGAAGTACATTGGGGGAGTTAATGAAGGGGCAAGAACAGCGTCACAGTGGAACAAGCCAATTTCCTTACACGGTGCTCTGATTTGGATTGCTAGGATCACCATGCCTTGCTGAGGAGCCACACCCACGAGACCCCTTGTCGATCGAGGATCCATCCATGCAAGCCCCTCCAAGGTACCACCCAATTGTTTTCGTGCAGGTGCGTGCAGCTCCCTCCAAGGAGGAAGCATTTTTGTGCATTTATCAAGGGAAAAACAACTTATTACTCTTGTCGTGTCAGGATGATGATAACATTTTAGGGGAATTTAACGAGGATTCTGAGAGATTTAGAGATGGACGAAGAAGTAGACTTTGTGGGCGCGCAGTGGCGGCCGAGGGCGTCACCTGTGCAAAAGGAAGACGAGAGGCATCCGACCATTCTCCTTCTCTTTCCCTTTGGTGTTTGTTCTCAACAACAACGGCAAGATCTCAAGCAGCATATAGGGTTGGGATAAATGGCGTTCCACGTATTTGTCGAGATTGGGAAGAATAGCTGCCCGTATCAAACAGGCCCTATGGGTGTAAACCACATGGCATGGCCGACTGGTGTGAACCCGCATGCAGCCGCCACATGGCAAGTCCTTTTGGTCGATGCTGCAAGGCTAGGACGATATTTCCCCGTTCTTGTTGAGGCCGGAGGAAAACAAATTTGAGGCAGGAGGCAAACGGGGTGGAGACCTCAAGGGCCGGCCTGTCAGGAATGTGGCTTTTAACGATGGCCAACAACGTTATTCATGCCCTTGCCCAAGAAGCCGAGCGAAGAGACATGCACGCTTTGGGGCCCTCGCATCAAGGCTGGCGAGCAGGAGAAGATAAATGCTTGGTTTGCTGAATGTGTAAATGGCATAGTTCGAGTTATTTGATAGCGGGTAGACATATTCGCCGGCCCCCTTCTGGCCTATTTTTCCTTCTTTTTTTATTTTTTATTTTTATTTTTTGTTTTTGTTTTTGGTGACGGTGAAGGTTTTCAAGCCCTCCCTCACTCTTCATGCCAAGCGCAGAATGACACCTGTAGCGTGATCTCGTTTCTCCCCGATGCCCCCTGAGCGGCCAGAGGTGAGTATGCTTGGCTGAGGGAGAGTCTTGGATGCTAAGGGCTCTTGGCTCGAATTTGGGGATCGGGTCATTTTTTTACCTCATTTTTGGACCCAGTGGCGAATGTTCAACTTGTGTCAAGCTCCCTGGTACACAGCACTGGCATCCCAGCCTCATAGGACTGGCAGGTTGACTTCTGTTTGACAGGACTGAATAGTATTAACTATTTTGCATGAGACATACAAGTAGATGGTAAGCCGAGCGCGCCCAATACTCGGTATACGGAAAGTCCATAGGCTCCTACACCGGAGTGGCTTTCTTTCGCTTTTCCCTCTAGGGTTTCGTGACTTGGCAAGAACCCTTATCAAGATGAGAGTCTACAATACGCTAGTTAGAGACTTTGAACTCTCCGACTGGTTTTCGAAAACAGCCACCCTCATCTGCCCGTCTCTCTTGAACTTTCGGGCCATCGAGTTCATAGGTCGTAGAAAGCGCTGTACTCAAGGGATGCTACCTGATGCCGAACGCAATGACTAATAAACAATTCGCGCTCACCGGCCATTGTTTCGGGAGGAGGAGGGCGCATTTCAGGGGCTCAGTCTTTTTTCTCATATTCCCTCCATTGATCACTGGATCCCAGTCGGCCTTTCTCTCGCTGGTACTTCGAGATTGGAGACGGAAATGTTCCCGTGAAAGGCTCCTTCCAAGAGTCAGGTACTTCCAGAAGTACACTGGCGAATTCCTTGTTATCTTGGCGGCCTCGTTCCAGGACAAATTAGCGTACCGTGCAGACACAGCATGGTTGGCACTATGAAAGTACGTCACCTCGCTGGACCTCGGACCATTTCCCTCATCCAACCTTTCCGTTGTTCCGGATCTTGAGAGAACCAAGCCCATCATCTCAACCCAGTCAGTCCCCCGTCTCACATTCGAACCTTGAGAGGAAGACGCCCTCTCGAGTCTGACCGTTTCTTTGACCGGATCTGTCGAGGTCTATGGTTGTCTCGTACAGGGCATGAAGGCGAACTAATGAATGCTTGCATTTCTCTCCAAGGGCGCATTGGGCGACTGTCTAGCATAATAATCATGCCTCCTCTCGCAGGCAGTAACCGGCAATCTGAGCCCTAGTGGCAGCGTCGCCCCAAACGCAACCTCTGCCAAGCTCAAATTATCGAGGACTGGGGAGTCTCAGTGCGCAATCACTCTTCTGATTGATTCATTTCAGGAAAGAAGACGTCGTCCAAAAGTACGAAGATACTTTTGTCGAGGTTCCTTGCTGGTACATCCAACCTTTGACATCCCTTCGAAGTAACTGGGCAACGGGTCTTTGTCTCTTCTTGATCCTGACTTGCTACAGGATATGGGAACAGGGAGGAATGATCAGTGATTCTGGATTCATCATTGTACTTTTTGCTACGTCAGGCTAGATTCGGAGACAGCTTTTCCCACCCTCCAGGAGAGCGAGGAAGAGTGTACACTACTCGGAAGGCTAAGATTAAGCCAGAACTACTAGTGGGGGCATCGGGAAAAGGCGAGGGAGCATCCATGAGCGAGAGAAAAAAATTAGAAGGGTAAAAGAATAAGCCGCTGTCGCCGTTCCCCCACCACTACACGGAAGGCGGATGGTGGACGCTTCAAACCCGAGTGGCGCGGTACTTTGAGCAGGGTGCAAGGCAGGTACCCTGCTGATCCTTTTTCTTTTTTCTTTCTTTTTCTTTTTCTCCCCTCCTTTCTTTCTGATTTTTTTCTTTTCCTCGTTCTTTCGCCCTCGGTATTATAACTCTCCTAACAAAAGCCATCTCTCCCCCAGCGTTGCCAGAGCCCAGAAAATCTCCTTACCCTTCCGATCCCAGTCCCCACTCACCCACCAGACGCCCTTTCCCAGTTTTGACGGGATCCAGAATTCACATCTCGAACTCTGTTTGGGTTTCCCGTGTTCCAAGGGAACGAAGAATTCCTGTCATTGAACCAACTTTTGTTCCGAAGGAAATCTTGACACAGAGAAGACTCGACAGAGGTAGCCTAACCTGTCAGTCTCCCGTGGGAGAAACCCGAAAACGAGAAGGAAAAAAATCGTTCAAAGTACTCCCGGGATTCAACCTGAGGCCAACAACTTTTACGCGTCTCTCTTTTCTTTTCTTTTTCACTTCTTTTCTTTGTTTTTCACTTCTTTTCTCTTTCACCTTACCTTCTTTCGGTACATCCGCCGATACCTCCAACGTTAGTGGGTTTGGAAAAGAAAAAAAAGCTAACCCGAGCTTTCCCCCAATTCGCGCGAACTGTCCCTGGCAGGAACGGTCTCCCACTCCAAAATAAAAAGGATTTGAGACCCAGTTCTCCACTCCAGACCCTTCCACCTACCCCATCATCCCACCACGCCTCATCACATTTTCATAGAGCCTCACCGACAGAGCTTCATACCATCTCACAATCATCGAGGACTAGTTTCAACGACCGGTCGCCTACAATTGTAACGCAAACAGACGAGTTGATTCTCTAAACTGTTTGCCTTTACGCATCTGTCATCTTGCCGCCTGTTTCGATTCCAGCCCAGGCAGCGCCCGACCTCGAGTCCGAACCATTTGGCTCGCAGCAGCAGGACACACCAACAAGAAAAAGTTTGGAAAGTCGGCTTTCTCAATCTCAATCATTGGAGTCGACTACCTGTCACTCCAGCCTCTCCCTCGACGTCTTGAAAGGGAGGATTATGGAAGGATCTCACTACTCGCCTGATGGTTTAGCTTCGACGAGTGCCGCCGCCTATCCTTCGCCTAGCACCCGCTCCAGCACCGCGCAGCCCGAACAGCAGCAGCAGTATCACGCTCAAGTTCTGCCGCCCATTCTCGACCAGAGCAAGAACAACCACGCGTGGAAAATCATGTACGCAGGTAGCCACCAGCCGCCTCATAGTCAGGCGAATGCCGGCCCGGCTCCTGGCTCTAACCTCCCCAGCTACCACCAGCAGACAACCCAGGCTTCGGCGAGAGGTCCTGCCTATGCCATGTCTGGCCCTCCCTCTTACCCATCTCCCCACGCATTTAGTATGCCTCAGACTTCCCAGGCCATGTCCCACCCGCAGCCCATAGCCCCGGCGCCCCCTGCCGGCCGTGGTGCTCCGGTATTACGGCCCATGCCTGGTGTCATGAACCAGCAGGGCGTAATGGGAAACCCTATGATGCAGCAAGGCCCCGGATTGCAGGAGGGCGAGCAGCCGACTCACGTTGTTGGCAGCCAGGGACGCCGTGGTATACTCCCGAGCGCCCCCGGCCGTGTCCCCGTCGGTCAGGTCAACAGCAAAGGCCAAATCACCCCAGTAAAGGATGCGGATGGCAAGTTCCCTTGCCCGCACTGCACCAAGACGTATCTCCACGCTAAGCATCTTAAGCGCCATCTTTTACGCCGTAAGTAAAGCTACCCCAAAGCTGCCCCAACATTCAGGTGTCGTAGCCTGTCGGAACTCAGTCACGGTTTCGCACGCGCTTTCAGATCATGCTAATTTAGTTGCGCAGACACTGGCGATCGCCCCTACCGTTGTGTGTTGTGTAACGATACATTCTCCCGCAGTGACATCTTGAAGCGTCACTTCCAGAAGTGCTCGATCCGCAGAGGCAACCCCGCTGGCGTTACGCATCTATCGCTCCCCCAGGCGCACGTCAAGAAGAGCCAGCCCCCGGTTCAAAAAGCCCCCGCGCCCGTCGGCATGGAAGGCGATTTGAACCATTTGAACGGCGGCCTCGGAAACATGCCCGGCGACGGCATGTCTCATGGATACCCCATGGTGCCTGTGCCCGATGGTTTGCCTAACCTCGCCAACGATCAGGGCCAGATGCAGCGATCGAACATGAGCCGGATCGAGAATAACGGTGCTCAGGATCGTCAGGGTCTAGGTGGTCCCGTAATGGGCTCTGCCCCTGGCCGTGGATACGAGCAGCACTATGCTAGCAACGTCGCGGGTTCGATGGCCAACCAGCAAATGCAGGGCTATAACATGCCCCCTGGTCAGAATGGAATGCCCATGTATGCGGGCGGGTCAAACTCGAACCAGCAGGTTGACTGGAGCCAAGTGTTTCCAACTGGTGCGCAAGATTCCTACGCCAATGCCTTCCCTCCTAATATTGGTCAGACGCAGATTCCGGTCAAGCAAGAACCTAATGTCGAGAACGATCGAACAGACGGAGTCCCAGGTGTCCGGCCCACCGACTCGCTTTTCTTCGCCAACTATATGCCGCCAACCGCTCAGAATCCTTACGCCCAACTTTCTAACCAACTCCTCACCTTCTTCCAAGGAGTGAACTCACCCTACACGACTCAACACGACCTCACCGCCGCCCACTCCTTCTTCACACCTGACAACGTCAAAGACTTCCTCACCAAATACACCCATTTTCACATCCATTTCCCGTTGATGCACGTCCCTTCCGTCCGCATTATGGAGATGAACACGAGCTTACTTGCAGGATTATGTTGCGTAGGGGCATGCTACTCCGACTTAGTGTCCCCTGACCATGTGCGCGATGTTATGGACCTCGTGCGACTAGCTTTCGAGCAACAATCTAGCCTTTTAGCCAAGGATTGGCAACACTCTGCAAGTTACGCTACTTCATTGTCCGGGGACGACATCGACGAAGTACAAGCCCTCATTTTGATAGCTGCTCTCCATGTTTGGCACGGCACGCCTCTGCAGCGTGAGTGGGGCCAGCGTAGCTACGCCCTGCTCTCTCTTATCGTTAGGAATGCCGGTCTTCTACGCATCACTCCCGACTCTCGACCTTACTCCCCTCTCCATCAACCCGGCTTTTCGCCACAGAACTTCGATGTTTCGAGTTTTGACTGGAATATGTGGGTAGAACAAGAGAAGCGAGTAAGGGTTGTGCACGTCATTTTCCTCGCAGACACGGCCATGAGCATGTATTTCAATATGACGCCCAGGCTTGATAGCTTCGAGATCAATATTCCATTGCCATCTGACGATGGTTCGTGGGATGCCCGCACGGATGTCGATTGCGCAGCCGCGTTAGGCCTTTACGGGCCAGAAGCGGCGAGGAAAAGAGCGCGGATGGCACGCATCGTGCCAAGCAACCCGAAATGAGTCTTGCGCTGCAAGCGCTCCTTCACGGCTCCTATCAAATCCAACCAGGGAGGACCAATCTCTATGGCAAGTTTATTCTTATCCATGCCATCATCGCCATCATTCGAAAAGCGTTGGTCGACCAGAATGCCGCGGCGATGATGCAGGATATGGGCACTCCTCCGCTCCACGATTGGATGGTAAGAGGCAGCGACTCAAACAACGGGAGGGCTACGCCGGTCGAGGGTGCAGGCCAACAAATACCACTCCAGACGAGACAAGCCTTATCTACCGCTCTAGATAAGTTCAAAGTGAACTGGGACGCCGATATGGTTACACAGTTCCCCCTCAAACTCAAACCAAGAATCCTCGCAGGTTCGGCTTCTCTAGAGACGGCATCCACTTTTACTGGCTGGCCAAATACATGCTTAAGCACACTCGACTGACGGACTTACAACTCCCTCCCGACGGAAGATTCGCACAGGTGATGCAGCTCCTGCGATCAGTCAAGACATGGGTGATGTCAGATGGTGCGTCTCGGGGTGAGACTCTGGGGTCTGTAGGAGATATCAACGAAGACTACGGCGTATCGGATCGGACTCTTAACATGGCACAACTTTTCACACCCTTGCCACAAGTGGTAGAAGACCCTCGGATTCCTTCTGTTAAAACCGAAATCGACACAGGTATTATATGAATACCACCTTAAATGGTTTTTCTTTTCGTATTTTTTTCTTGACGGCACCAGTTCATCGGGAGAGATCTCGGGAATGTTAAAAGGCCGCCAATGGACACACATCAAACTTATCATGTTTCCTTTTTTTTAGTCTCACTTTTTCCCTCCGACGTATTGCATTGATGGCGTTTTTCGTCTTTTTGTTTCCGCTCACCATTCCTCTTGATCTCTTGTTTTGGTTGGCCGATCGCTTCCGAGTGGCAAGATTCCTCATCGAAGGGCGATGGGGGAGGGCCTCTTGGTGCAGAAGCCGATCAGTCGAGGCGGTGGTGTGCAAGGGGCGGGGGTACCATGAAAAAATCCATACCTGCAACGGACGGATGTGGACCGCTACGGGGATGCGTCGGCCTAGGGCGCTACGGTCCTTCGTTAGCTGTGTTATATCCTAGCCTTTTTTAGGCACGAGTTTGTCGCTATTGCTTCTTGTGGTTTTTGTTCAGTTTTCTTTCACCTTTGTTTCTTTTCTCTCTACTTCTACTTTGTTCCGTCTGTCAGCATTCAAAAGGGTGGCCTCTCGAACAGAGCAATAGACGGACTCCGGGAGTTGGTACTGCATTAGACATATTCATCAATAGAGCGGAGTGGCCCTGGCAGGGATTTCATACAACAGGGCCCTCTAGGAGTGTCACGATTTTCACGGCCGATTTCTTGTTGATTATGAGGCTCGAGCAGCTGGTGCCGCCCTTCCCTTTATGCAAAATCCTGTCGAGCCCTCGTCATTGTGGGATGGAGCGATGAGCCAGGGTTGGCTGAGTGCGTAGCGCTACCAATCGGTCGCACACTTCAAGCCCTGGGTTTGGTTTGCATTTACTCTTGGTTTGTTTTTCCGCCGGTTCGACGGTGAGCAGACCATACAAATGCCTGATGTCAAATTGTTTTCCCCTTTTTTCGCCGACCTTGTTTTGTTGTCAGGGGCGGTATCTTGTATCTTATCCCTAGCAGCCTATCATTGCCCCATTTCTTGGTGTGCGATTTGAGTACTTTGAAGGAGATGTGTGGATGTTTGGCCAGGCGAAGAAATGGCCTTGGCTTTGGGAGAACCTACACTTAAATTACAAAATGGAAACAGACCAAAGGACTCTCTGGAAGCGTACATGGAGACACCGAGACCCATAGATATATCTTTACACAAAATTTCTTCCCTCTCTCGCCCTCTCTTCTCTTTGTCCCCGTCTTACTCTCCTTTTTTACCCACCCCTATCGATACGTGTACACTATTAAAACATTGTTCTTGTTTTCGACTACCTTGGAGCGCTTCACACCAAATCACAAACCCAGGGTGTGTTCGCGTACGCACTCGGTCAGGAAATCATAGTAGCCGCACTCACCGCCTAGCTCCATGTACTCACGCATGGGATCTAGAGTGCTTCCTTAGCTCTTGGTGCGGTCTACGACGGTGATCTTGGGTGTCGCCTTGTCCAAAGCCGCCTTATCGGCCTCGGAGGGCTTGAAGCCGTATTTTCCTCGGCCCGGTCCGAGAGATATAGGCCAATAGCGCCCCAGGCGATTACGCCAATACCAACGCCAAGGCGTGTGGTGGGTGAGAGGTTTTTGTATGCTCTACACCAAACCTATCGTGTCAGTCCGAACTTGTTCGAGGTAGTTAAGGAACAAGGCTGCATCCACGGTGGTGGACTCGGCCGAGTATAGTGTCACAGCCATCGCGGGCACGGCGGAACAGCACAAAGGGGAAAACGCACTGGAAGAACATTGGGAAATTTGACAAGAGAAGAGAGAAAAAAAAAGAGGATTGTTTTAGACCAGATGTTGTAAGCAGGGCATGACGAAACCACCAAGAACAAAAAGCGCACGCCGGAGAAGGTCGTAAGACGGGTTGCGGAAGTTTCGGGACTAGAAATACGCCTTCGCAGTGACGAATCCTCCCGAGGCGGATGTCAGATTGAAATGCGTGAAATTGTAAGACCGCGTCCTGGAGAGTGTGCGAGGCAAATGGGCGTCCCGAATCGGGTGGATTCGCGGTGATTGAATGGAGAGACGTTGGGTTCGAGCCGGAGCCGGAAAAATAAAATTGCGGACATGTTTTTGGGGGAAGGGCGAAAGCTGGGCCACACAACGGACGAGGGGGACCGGCACCCTGCGACCTCCGGCTCGATGAGAGCGCTTCACCACCTGCAGTTGGTATCACTACACCAAAGGATGGAGAGGCAGGCGAGAAGAAGGTGGAGAGAAGAAAAGAGGAAATTCGGCAAGGAGAAGGGATGGAGGCGAAAAATTAGGATGTACGGCTTAATTTCGCTCTTGCCATCTCCTCGCAGCCACGCATCAACCACACTCAGACCTAGATGAAGAGGACATGACACAGAAGGCGCATCAAGACCGCAAGATGGGCTTTAGGCCCTGGGAATGTAGTGTTGCTTCGGCTGTATAAAGTCCGCCCGGTATCTCGGCCTCTTTCATTTCTCGCCTTGATCTTTCGTCGCCTTCAGCCGTGTGGCAGGATCTCCCTTTTCACAAACAGCATAGCATTGGGTGAAGAACAACGGGAAATGGAAGGGTGGGCGGTTGTCTCATGACCGGGGGTGTGGAAGAAGAGGAAGGGAGGCCATCCTGACAGGATATGAGAAGGATGTCTAAAACCTGCGGAGTGGATTCAGCACCTCGTCGGACATTCTTGTCGAACTGGGCGAGGAGCCCCGGTAGAGGCTGAGCCTCGCTCCTCAGCGATGAGCCCGTGTCTGGGCCCCAGAGAACACCAAGAGGCATCGACAGGCTGCTGCCAGACTTGTGAACTGCTCCCCAACTAAGGCTCGCTCTTGTCGACCTCGAAACTTTCCGCGGCCCCGAGCGAGGACTTTGCTCATGCCAATACGTTGCTGGTCAGACTTTGGTCCGGCATGACTCAGGTGACATCTCGACTCTACTAGCTATGGACTCGACCTAGCCCCCCTCACAGCTAACATTAGGCACATGACCAGGAGCAAGCTCGCCTGGGTCGTTTTTCTCCTACAGGTAGCGTTGGAGAATGCGTAGGGCACCTCATTTACTTTTCCTAGGTTTCCATTGCCAGCGTATTAGTGTAGATAGTCACTCCGTGTTAACCCCCACTCCCAGTGTCCATGTGAACTGGGGCATCCGCAAATTTGGGGAAAGTCTTCGGCTACACGCCCAGAAGAGGCATTCTCGTGCTACTTTAGGATGAAGACGCGACCGCGAGAGATGCAACGGAGGTATCTGACCATTGGTGTTCCATGGGATGAGCACAAGACATGTCCACGGTAGCGCGAGGGAGTTGGACGCGACAGAGGCAGGACGGCACCGCAAGCGGGGTAAGAAGAATGGATGCCCTTGTTATGGTAACAAGAAGAACCTTTTGCAGGAATAAGAGGAAGGATCATCACCCGGGAATCTGAGACTGGCTTTTGTGTTCCCAACAACTTTCGTTTTTCTTTCTTCTCGTGTTAGCGGATGATCTCCCCTTTCTTCGAGTTGAAAGGGAAAGTTGGGGGCGATATGCCTCATCAATCCATGGGTGCGCATCGAGCTAGGCAGTGCCAAGGAAGGTTGCTCCTCCCGCCAGATCTACCATCTAGGCAAGTTTTCTCGCCGTCCCTCCGACCTGCGCCCGTCGTGGGGGCAGAGGTCTATCACTCACAGGAGAAAAGTGGAGGCTACCCAGGAGGGGAAGAGGAAAGGCATTACCAGGAGAGGTAAAAAGCAACGATCGAGGAATGGGGAGGGTGCTGTCACTAGCATATTTGCACATAGCGTGCTCTTGCGTGCATCGAGACAGATGAGCGCGGGGAAACAGACGCCTTCCGAGATGAGCATCGACACACTGCTTGAACTATGGTGGGCAGGGCTTATCCCCTTTCTCCTTCTCTACGGTCCAGTTCTCTTTTCCTCCTTGTCTGTGCTTTTTGCTTTTTATTCTCATTTCCTTGGATTCTCTTTCCCCCTCGAGTGAAAGCGTATTAGTGGAGACGACAGCCGAGCGCTTTCCTTTGCTTTTTCTTACCTTGACTATTTTCCCTTCAAATGGCATTGCTTTCCTTTCGAATATGTTTCGCCTGCATAAGAGAAGCGAGTGCACTAGAAGAATTAAAAAGGGGAGGATAAGACAAGTTGTCCACAATCCCCAACTATCGCTCCCTCGGGTCGTCGACTGCTGCTCTCAGCCTGTCCCCCCCAATTGCCATTTTATAGCCCACTAACCCACAACTATGCGCGTCGATACCTCCATGGATCTATGTATGTTTTTTTCTTGTTTATGCTTCTTCCTTTTGTGCCTGTCCGCCATGCACAATCATAGCAAGGTCGATGCGACATATGTAGGCTTATTCGGGGGCCACCGGATCATAGGCAATAGGAGGCTCCCCGTTCTCCCACTTGCTATTAAGCGCGATTGCCCTCTTCGGGGCTTCTTTTGCTTTTGCCAACCTTCTCGGCCTCTCTATCTCCCTCTCTCTCTCGCTCTTTCTGCCTGTCTATACCGAGCGAGGTGTGTCTATGTGTCTATGCGTCTATGTGTGCGTGCGTGTCTCCGTCTCTTACCCCCCTCCTCCTCCTCCGCGCCGCTGCTCCTGTCGTGCAGCCTGGCCTGGGGAGATTTGAACGGCAGCGATTTCGTGTAATCAAGCCAATAATCTCACCTCCCTCTTTCATTTGCTTCCTTTCCCCCATCGCCACCCTTGCTCATGCGTAACCTCGCGATAATGGAGAGTCGCGGCGCCCTGCCGGGAGACAGACGCCCATGTATGACCCGGAATTTTGGAATCCCGACGAGATGACATTTGAGATTGTTTGTGCCGAAATCTCGTTTCGCCTACAGACATGAGGACCCACCGAGCAACCTTGTGGCTGTCGGTCCCATGGCCGATACACGACTCGGACGTTGACTGTTAGATCTGTCGGCCCAACTTATCAAAAGGGCCCGCTGGTTGATGAATGGAACAAGAAGAAGAGGAAACCGGACCCAAAAACAAAACAAAAAAAGACCCAGAGAAAAAGAGGGATCGACATCGCATGGCGCGGGATCCGGCCGAGAGAGACAAAAGGAACAGAGGGAGGGACGGGTGACGTGGGACGGGACGGGATGAGATGGATGGGATGTTTGATCGCGAAATGATGCAACAACTTTGTCAGAAACAAAAGATGAAAGGAGGAGACGGTCGATATCAACTCGGCCGGCACCCTTTTCCCTCCATCCCCTAATCACATATCCAATCAAGTTTTTGCGCAAAGGGGACGAGGGATGAGGGGCAGAGCAAGCGAATTAGGAAGTTATCCCAGAACAGCTACACTCCTGCCCATGACTCGTTGTTTTGCCGAATCCTGGGCCTAGGCCACCTTCTTGGATTCCCCTATCGAGGACAAGTATGCCCGGTACTGGCGGGACTGAGAGAGGGATGGGCCTTTTCTTTCCTTGTGCGGCTCATCCTGACGGGGCGTGTTTATAATCGGTATATGAGTGTGTCGCCAACGCGATAAGAATGGCTTCGTGTCGGCTCGGCCAGGAGCACTGGGTTTCAGAGGAATCTGGTGAAAACAAAGAGTGGAGTGGGATACTAGAAAAAAAGAACCATGTCCCAAATCCAAACAGAACAAACCCTCTGGCCTTTTGACAATGGATATTGTCTCTCGTTGTTCCGTGACTCTTCTCGCGTCCCCCTCCCTTTCCTCTCTATATATGCACGCCTTCAGATATATTGCGATGCACCATACCCGTAGCCCCTCCACATAGATTACGTGAAAATGCGACCCGCGCGTTTCAAACATTTCAGGTTGACAGAAAGATGATGCAGTGTCTAAAGCTCTGAACCTTGGATGGGCTGAAGGGGCTCTACATGTTTAGCCTTTTTCTTCCCAGAGAACGGCGGATACCAAAGTTGTTGGGTGCCCAACATTCTGGCAACCCCCGCCCATCTCGTTTCCGCGGCTCATGGGGAAAGATGGAATAGGAGGACAGAAGGGGAAGGGGAAAGCCTAGTGTACGAAGTATTGGAGACCACGGCGCCGGGAAAAAGGGGAGGGGAGGCTGAACTGTCATTCATTGCCCTGACGCATCTCCGATTTCAGACAGGCGAAGAGTGGCAGGTAGCTAATTTTGAGTATCGTCAGTTTTGACACTAAAGAGTAAATGAACTGACGCGCCTTGAGAAACATGTACGCCACGTTCACACCCCTCGCCGCTCCTCTCGGTTCTTCACTACATCTCAGATGGGCCCTTGGAATGAGTTTCGAGATGCGGGCTGAACAAATATGTCTTTCCACCTGTCAAGAGCCCTCTCCTTGTCACTCGAATCGAGACAGTGGTGGGTGATACGGAGGCGATACGTTGGTCGTACATGTCCCTCCCCGCATTTCGGGTGCTCCTTTTACAAGCCGTTGTCGAACATGGCATGTAATGAGAAGAAGAGGTGCTGGGTAGCACAACGAAGCTATTTTCCATCGTGGAGAAAAGAAAGGAGAGTCGTGATTTGTGTAACTCCATCCTACAAGCGCCCGATCATGCCTTGATTATGCGGGAAGGAGGGGGGCGTTACGATATTCTCCAATTTCCTTGTGAGGCAGGCTATGAGAATGGGAATAGAAACCTTCATGGTTGATAGGGGATAATCGGAAGATGGTCTGGGGGTGGAAGCGGCTTTGACTCGTCTCACGATTGTACACATACACAACCTCTTATTACCTCGGTATTCTTT